TGTAGCACTTCCTGCGGTTGCAGGGAAAAGTGCCGGGTGTGGTGGGGTTGGAAGGGAGTGTGGAGCGGACAAGGGAGTCATGGAGAGAGTGGTCCCTCCAGAAAGCAGATAAGGGTGGGGAGGGAAAAATGTCTTTGGTGGTGGGGTCAGATTGCAGATGGTGGAAGTGTCAGAGGTTGGTGGGGTGGTACGTGAGGACGAGGGGGATTCTGTTTTGGTTGTTATTGCGGGGAGCGGGTGTGAGGGATGAGTTGCGGGAAATGCGGGAGACACGGTCGAGGGCATTCTCGACCACTGAAGGGGGGATGTTGCAGTCCTTGAAAAACAAGGACATCTGAGATGTACGGGAATGGAATGCCTCATCCTGGGAGAAGATGCGGCGGAAGCGAAGGAACTGGGAATAGGGGATGGCATTTTTGCAGGAAGGTGGGTGGGAGGAGGTGTATTCTAGGTAGCTGTGGGAGTCGGTGGGCTTGACATAGATATCGGTATCTAGGTGGTTGCCAGAGATGGAGAGAGCGAGGTATTAGAGATGGTCCAGGTGAACTTAAGGTTGGGGTGGACGGTGTTGGTGAAGTGGACGAACTGTTCGAGCTCCTCGTGGGAGCACGAGGCGGCGCCGATACAGTCATCAATGTAATGGAGGAAGAGGTGGGATTTAGGGCCAGCGTAGGTACGGAAGAGGGATTGTTCCACGTAACCTACGAAGAGGCAGGCATAGCTTGGGCCCATGTTTGGTTGATTTTTTTTAAAAATTGGCTGTATTTACTGTTTCTTGAAGATTTATCTTGCAGAAGAAACTTAACCAGTTCTTTTGATCATGTCAGCTGCAACATTTTAAGGATCTGGAATTGGCTAAGGTTCGGATTCAGGAGAAAGAGCACTCACAGAAGAATATAGAAGAGATCAGATTAAAGCTAGACAAAACGTACCAGAAAAAGTCTGAGACGTTGATTACAAGAGAGAAGAATGCTATTGAGAGACTTCAGAAACAGCAGGAGGTAAGTTCAGATGCAGTCAGAATGATAACACACTAGGCAACCGTGCAGTGAGTTCATGGATGAATCACAGCTTCTACAAGTACGGGTATATCTTAGGAAGAACTCAAGAAATTTAGAAGTTTTACATGGAAACTCCCTAAATTAATTCTGTACAATGGATGAAACAAAACTGGAACTCTGAAGGTTCTAGCTGCTGCTTTAAAGCATTAATGGTCCTAAAAATGTTATTTTTTTTGTTCATCCTCCTTTCTTCCTTCGTGAACATTTCAGTTTCATCATTTTGTACTTTTTCCGACATAGAACTTTCAAAGATGATCTATAGCATGATTCATACTTTTCAACTATATATATGGGTATTGCATGCAAAAAGAAGCTAAGAAGCATTGCTCCTTTTTAAATATTGCAAACAGATGCTGTAGAAGCCTGTATTTTGCCACTTGTTGGGATCCCTATTTTAATCAGGCAATTTAATCATGGAATAAGATATCCATCTTTTCCTGCATGGCAATCTGTCAGAGAACATTAAGCAGGTTTTATAGTGGCTGGGCAATTCTAGCCACTTGGTTACCATCCAGGAGAGAGAAAAATCTATTGCATAATTTTTCTTGGAAAATAAGGGTGGCTAGTTGATGCCCTGATCAAAAGTGTGGCAGTACATGCCATCTACAAGGCTTTCTCTCGTATGTTTATTTTCCATGCTCTTTAATAGCTTATGCTATGGGCAGGACAGTGAACTATCATCTGTCCTCTACAAGGAAGTAATTGGTTATATATTTAACCAATTTGATAGAAGAATTGTTAGTAAACAGTGGAAAGCCTGAATCGGGAAGTACAAGTTATAATAATAAAGAATTCTCTATCAAATAATATATAGAACACATATAAAAGGGAAAGGAAAAGGATTGGATTTTGAGAGAGGAAATAGAGACAAAAAACAAAAGTTAAAGCAAGTTATTTTCCATGGATCATGATGTACAAGTTAATCTCTGAAGGCTTAAGAAAACTGTGAAAAAATATAGGTTGACTTTATATGCAGAGTGTACAATATGAACAATATTGTTGTAGATGATCACTATTTTTGAAATGTGAAAAAATAAACACAATAACTGTAATTCAAGGTATATTGATGCAATAAGTTTAAGGATACCTTTTAACCAAAATCAAAACTTTATTTTTTAAATTCAAGCTTATTGTCATCGCCAAAGATTAATCAAATGCATTCTGAGTCACTTTGACATTGCCATCATTGTAATGATTTCACCCGGATCAGACTTGGAGCTTTAAGTTTTAATGTCATCTACCCCCTTCACCCCCAACAAAAGAAAGCAAAGCATATTCCTTTCCATTCATTGAGTTAGATACTTTGCATCTTTTGGATCATCAGATAACAGTTTGTGCATTAGTAGCATTCCATGATTTGATCATGCAAGCTCTCAAAACATTTAAGTGGGACAGCAGATATATTTCCATTCTTTGTGAAGGTGTTTTTTTTCTGTCATAACCTATATAATCCATTGAACATGAACATGATCCTTGAATAGCTTTTCAAAGCACACTTCCAAAGGATAAACTTCAGATGTTAGAGCCCCTAATACAACTGCAGTGTGGGGTTATTTCTTTGCAGGTAACTCCTGATCTCAGGTTATCTGGGATCTAAACAAGCTTCACACTAATAACCTGGGCTCTTTTTGTAGCCACTAGTACTCCAATTCCACACAATATCAATATCAATCCACGACTTCACTCCATCCTATCTCCCAATCACTGTAATGAACATTCACATAAACACTTGCTGGGAATTTGATTTTTGGCATGGTTTTATGCTTTAATTTTTATTATGTCAGCTATGTAAGCTAGAAACACCATGAATCTTGTTTTATGTCTTGAAAAGTTGAGACTGACTTTTAATGCGAATGTAGCATTTCCTGGTGGAAAAGAAGGATTGACTTGTATCGCAAGTATAGGCCATTTCCAGTGGCCACTTGGAGATGATTGACCATAAAGGGGAGACAATTATGGGTATTCGAGGCAGTATACTGGGATGTGGAAGGCACAATAATTGTGAAGGGAGGCAACTCAACATGCAAAGGAGTGTGGAGGACATGGGTTTCTGCAGGAGGGGGGATCGTTGACAGACACAGCCATGGTTTTCATGCTCAGTGCAACATGATGGTTAGCATGACTAAGCTGTAGATATAGTGAGTATTAGGGGAAAAATAGCCCTCTCTTAGATGAACCCATTCTTAGCCTCATCCTATGTAATTTGATTCCTCAATAACATTGCAGTGTGTGCTTGTGGTTACATTGAAGTATCGGCCAAAACTAATGTGCCATGCCATTTCTTTTTGGTTTCACATTGTGTATGATGAGTGGAAACACCTAGCAGGCAGCGGTTGACCTGGTGAGTGGTTGAGCTGTAGAAGTGTTGGGTAACTCAAAAAGTCCAGCACCAGTGAGTACTTCCACCTCTGTTGAGAAGACCTCCATAAGGGTATGGTTCAGAGCCAGTGAAACAAGTTTCAGAGAACAGCATCAAAAACCTTGCCAGAGCTTTGAGCGAAACCCTCCATGAAACCTGCCAAAATTAATACTTAGGTGACTTATGGTAAAATCTAGTGTATTGGTTCTCTGTTGAAAATTATGGTAGAAATTTGCACATGTTTTGGATACATCACAGTGTTTGCAAAGCTAGATATTTTAAATAGACTGACAACAAAATATTGTGTAAAGTAATAACTTTATTCAAAACTTGGTAATTCACATGTATGAAAGTAAGAATTAATCTGGATTTCTCTATTTATTTGGTATATCACAAAATTGAGCATTTATAAAATTTAAATTACCCTTATCAGACAAATTACGTTTAGATATCAATTATTTTACAGATTGAGGAAAAAGAAATATATATACAGAGACAAAGTTTACTGAAAGATATTGAAGCTGTGCGAAATAGAGAGATTGAACTTCGACAACGAATTGAAGCCTTTGAACTGTAAGTAGACGTGGGAAATTAGGTAAAGAATAATATTTCTTTATTATAATTGACATTTTAAACAAAGTCCCAGAAGAGCTTCGATATACTTATGGTTTTTCATGTTGGTAATCTGAAATTTTTTTGTAAGTGACCAATTATTGACATACTCTTCGAGTGAAACATTGAATCTGATTGACTGACTGAAAATCTGTTTGTGTTACCCGTTAATTGTTAATGATAGCTGCTTTTGTAGGGGAGCCACTGAAGGTGATACAGCAGAGATTGTTGTTCACAGCAAATAATGTAGCAGGTAGAAAACAAATATAATGAGGCGGGGAGCAGGGTCCAAGAGTATTAAAATAAAAGCAAAATTCTATGGATGCTGGGAAATTTGAAATATAAACAGAAAATGCTGGAAACACTCAGCAGGTCTAGTATCTGTGGAGAATGGGAAAGAGCACTGAACTTTTGATCCTGAGTTGGGTAGCAAAATTTGCAAACCTGACTCAGGAGAAAATTTCCCAAATGGTCAGTTTATGATTTAGGAGAAGTGAGGGATAACTGGAATAGCTGGCATACCACCCCTAGTAAAAGTGTGGAGACACCCACAGAGCGCTAGATGCCGAGGTGGGCATTTAAAAGACCACAGCCCTATACTCTAGGATTCTGTAATAGAAACATTAAAGCAAAAAAAAACTCTTACCTCTTATGCTCACTCTACTCCCCATACATTCTCAATACCCCACCCATGTTACCTCATGTGTCCCACCCACTCACCTCCTGAAGCCTACATGTCTCCATATCACTCTCCCTCTTTCCATTCCCCTGCACTTCCCAATCTTTACTCATCCCAATAAAAACTAATGCTATCCATTCGTAGTAGCATCTCAAAACACAATGCTGACTCATGATTCCACAACTACCACCTTTTTTTCTCTTACCCCTTCCATGCCACTTCATCCAATATCTATCATGGACAGACTTAGACATTTTGAGATGAAATAAAGTTCTGTTCACTTCACTGTATTAAAAGTGATAAAAGCTCATTCAATACATTTAATTCCCTTTATATACTTAATTCCTTATATAAATATATACTGGTTTTCATTACTCCACATCAAAGCCAGCCGATGCCTTAGGAACCATTTGGAGCTGCTATTTGAAGAGGTGAGTTTACAGCCCTCTGAGATAATAATAAGTTATGGAAGCAGTTAAACAGCAATAATCCTATAATTATTAACCTAAGGCTCATGTCAACAAGCACCTACTGACTTTGTGAACATTGCTTATTTTTCAACTGAGAGGTACAGCAGGCTTTTTTATTCTTCAGAAGTTAAACAGCAGGAAATTTAACTGATTTACCAACTTGAAGATTTTATAGAACATATCCGCATTACCAAAAAATCAGCATTACCTATAGTTAGTTATCAAGCAACAGTTTTTCTGCTGTCATTTGTTAGCCTCCTTATTATCATATTTCACATCCAGTCATCTAATTTTGTTTTAACGTGCTTCTAGGCTAGCAGGACTTAGTAAAAGTTTTTTAAAACTAGAATCTGCTACTGGTCGAAATGTGCAAATGGTGTAAATTAACTCTGAGTTGAGACAAATATTTGTATGATTTCATGCCTGTCAATGAAGTTCTCCTTCTAAAAACCATGCTGAAGATTATGTTTTCACTTTGTGCAGAATCATGAGCATGGAATGATAATGGTTTACTATAAGACATGCAGTATCTAGCCTTTCGCACTTCTGACTTTGGCTTGTACAGAAAATTAAAAATTGCATTTACTATTCTACCAAGTTAATCATTTTCATTTATAAGTAAGATTGAACTGAATAATGCACAAAATAAAAAGTATTACATTTTAGGCATTTGTTATACTTAACTATTAATTTTTAAAATCTATGTTAGGAGTTAGCGGACTGCAGAATAGAAAATCATCACTCTGCACTCCTGACAGCATGTTCTTGTGTTCAAGTTCAGAATTCCTTAATGATTTATCTGTCATGTCAGGACTCAGGATTTGCATGACCAAAAGAACAAGAGTTTAGAGGAGGATCTCCGGAGACGGGAGCTTGCAGTGAAAAATATTGAGGAGACTTACGAGCAGAAGCTGAAAACCGAACTGTTTAGGTAAGACATGCATAATGCAAGGACATAGTTAAATCAAACAACATACACTCTCAATGTATAGCAACTGTTATACAAAGTCACAAATTGCCTTCCTTTGGTATTCTAAGCAAAATTGTTTTAAATGCAGCTATGTTCTAATGCTGTGTTACGACAAATGAGAAGGAGGTTTCTGTTCCTATTTTAACTCGGGTTGAGGTCACAACCAAAATTCTCTTTTTAGCCTGCAGTTAGCACTTCAGTCAAGACTTTTTTCACTGGAAGAAAAGGCCAATTACTAAGCCTTTCTTGAGTAAAAGAGGAATTTTATTATTTGCTAACTCTAAGGGAACAAAATAACACATAACATCAAACACAGATAACAAGTTTTAAAAAGGGAGAGTATTTGGTACACACGGGAAGAATAAAGACTACACAGTTTAATAGTTTTTAGAGTCCTTAAATTGTTGTGATTGAACCTGAGACCATGGCTGTTTAATTCATGTATTGTATTCTTAGCAGTAGTGAAATTTGTAGAATCCTTTACTTCTTGGTGAATGGATGTTTCAGCAATTTGCATCTTCAATCATTTTGGCTTTCAAGATGATGAGAAGGAAATTAGGAGAGAATATTTTCCAGTACAAAAATCAGAAATTGCTAGAAATACTCAGCAGGATCTGGCAGCATCTGTGGAGAGAAAGCAGAGTTAATGTTTTGGGTCCAGTGACCCCTTTTCAGAACTGATTATAGCTAGAAAAAGAGTGCTATATATCCAGAAGATACCTTTGTCTGCTCAGCTGTTTTTTTTCTCTATCTGGGCTCCATCTCCGCCTATTGTTTACTCCTTTAACCATCCCTCCCCCCCATCTTCAGCATATATACCAATCTTTTTCTGGCTACAATCACTTCTGAAAAAGCATCACTGGACTCAAATGTTAACGTTGCTTTCTCTCCATAGATGCTGCCAGACCTGCTGAAATTTTCTAGCATTTCTGATTTTGTTTTTGATTTCTAGCATCCGCAGTTCTTTGTTTTTTTTTGTTCAGTGTCTTCCAATCTTTGCTGTTACTGATCCATTTTATTTCTCACTCCCCTGATACTCAAAAGCAGCTGTTGGAGTATGGTTAATTGTGTATATGTCTAACTCATTGTTTTTCTGTAGGCTGGCTAACTGGCTGGTGAGCCTTTTATCTCCTAATATGTGAAGTTATCATATAAATGTGAATTAAAATTTAAAAATCTGTGTTTTTAGATGCCTAACTCAGTCGTCTAGTTTCGATGACTTCAGACAAAATTGTCATTTGAATGCATACGGGTTTGTTTATTCTTCATGGATTTCTGTTATCAGGTCTGTTATCAGGTGACCACTACTGCCGTTTAGGTCTAGGTTTCATCCTTTTGAAAAAAAACATTTTAGCTCATGAACGGCCTCAAGTATAACAATCAGTTGGAAGTTAGTTGGGTTTTCTGATGAAGGGTCTAGGCCTGAAACGTCAGCCTCTCTGCTCCTATGATGCTGCTTGGCCTGCTGTGTTCATCCAGCCCTGCACCTTGTTGTCTCGGATTCACCAGCATCTGCAGTTCCTACTATCTCTGATTCAGTTGGAAGTTAGTATTTGGTTTTTACTACTCTTGTAACAGTTGTATGTAATCCTCCAACATAGTGTACCATAAAAAGGTCCGAAGAATATTTTTAAAGAAAAACATAATTCTTGGTGAATGAGTATTTACTGCAGTAGAATTATTTTTGGTACAGTGATAAGATTTTTTTAAATTCAAATATTCTACACTGGCAAGTTGATGCTTCATCTTGTGCAAATTGATCATGTGAATTTAAAAGATGTTTAAAGGAAATATTTATCACAATCCTTGCATCACAAGTATCCTGCATTCAAGGAATGTGCATTCTATTTGGATTAAATCCCAATGTGGCTTTCTCCGTAAATTTATGATGTGCTGTGCAAGAGTGGCTGGAAAGATGCCAGGTTTGACCCTTGATCATTGCAATAGGATTGATTTTGAGCTGAGATGGCACAGCAATGCTGTGCCTAGTTTTGGGGTCCCTGTTGTAGAGAGGGGTGATGGTTGAAGCAAAATTCCTGTTCCTTACCACTGGTTAGTGACTTTGTGTTGAAAATGTCTGTTTCAACATTAAGTGAGGACAGGCTTGGTTGAGGTGCCTCTCCACAAACGAATTGTTACTTCCATTCACTGTCAATGTGGCTGTTGGTACCTGTGGAAACAAATCACAGTAAGCAGACAAAAGTGGTGTATGTATGATTTGTTGTTCAAATTATTATGTACACCCATCTCCTTACAAAGTGTAACTTAAAGGAGTGTTGATAGGAGCACACTGGAGTTTGAATTTTGGTTAAATGTAAATAATTCCTGTATTTTATTTTCTTTTAATTCTTTTGTTCTTTTGCATTTTACGTTTTTTGGAATTGGGTTGAAAAATCAATTATAATTCTTGTATCTTTAATGACTTTATGAGCAGTATTTTGTGGATGTTCATAATTTTTCATTTTCATTTTTATGTTTAAAATTATACCTGGCTTGTATTTTAATCTGTAGCAAACATCAGTATAATTTTGTTCACCCAAACTTGCTGCTTGGAAAATCTATGAAGTGTGTAAGAGAGAGTGTAAGAATCCAATGTTTGAAGTTTTTGACAAATTTCACTCTTCTGTAGTGTTGAGATGACTGGAAAACGTGTTTGGAAGAGTGCTAATAAGAAGTTGTTATTGCATTAATTAACTGTCCCTCGTTCATCTGATCTTTAATAATACATGTAAAAATGACCTTTGCTAGAAAAATATCACTACTACACAAATGTTTGTACTTCTGTGTTATATTGATAGACTTGTCTAACTTTGAGAGTTTTGAACCTTCATTCTTCTGACTTAGATTTAACTTTTATTCCATTTAAAATTTGCTTTTATTGTGCTATCTAAAATAATTCAATCTTCTGCATAGGTGTCAAGTGGAACTACAGGAAGAGCATCGTAAAAGAATGGAAAAAGTGACTGCAAATGAGAAAAGACTCGAAGGTCTGATTCAAAACTTTGCAGCTTAATTATACTTTACAGGATTTAGAATATTGTACATTTATGTAGAATCTGTACAAATACCACACTATGTATATGAACAAGAGAATTCTTTGATATTCCTACAAAATAGTTTTTTGTTTGAAAAATATAATTGAGTATATAATGTATAATATATATCAATTTTGCTAGACTATTTACAGGACAATGCTGTGGCTTCATTTTTGAAAGCATTCAGAGTGCCTTTGGTTTTGAATTGAACTGCCCTGTTTAAGACATAACAATATGGAAGTATCTAACTTGACCAATTTATCTCTTTTCGTCCAGGTCATGTTTCAAGGCTGATCTAACCAACTATTTTGAAATGCAATTTCTTTTATCTTTTTCCCACTTCGCTTAATTTCTTCTTTAGAAATCAAGAGCTGTAGCTTGCAGGCTATTCATACTTGCAATCCAGATTGTTTTATCTGGGTTTTATACAACAATAGCTTATTTGTTGTTTTACAATGTGAACCACATTATTAACACCCCAATCGTAAGAAATCTCTGTTGCGTTTATATTATCACTTTGCATGTAATAAATAGCAGCTCCATGGGGTGGGTTTCCTTCTAGTGAAATTTGGAAGTCCTACTAGGAGCTTTTTTAGCCCACAGAGTGTTTTATTCCTGTGTGATAGGCCTCCACCTCACTACAGCCTGTCTGAAATCACCCCCTTACCCCCATAGTTTCCACTGTCTTTTTTAAGGTCCTTGGTGCTCACTGTGGGGTATTCACCTGAAACCAAATTTTCCTAACATCCAGAAGCAGGAAAGGTGGTCTTCTGTGGCATTTCTTTTGGAGGACGTCTTGGGGCTCAGTAGGTTGTGCCTCTATTTCTGAAGTGGAAGCACGTGAACTTGTTGGTCATGGAAGATGCATTCATGAAGCATTTCGAATAGGTTGATAACCAGCCTATTATTCTTTCCAACATTTCTGCACTGTTTCCCAAAGGGGAAAAAAAATTAGAAACAAATAGAATAACGTTTGGAACCTAATTGTTCACAGGTAAGCCTTGCCTTACCTTTGCCAAGCATTCTCAAATATGTGAGTGTAGTATTTCAACCTCTGATCTCACTTCCATTATCTTTTTAACCTTTCACCTTTCTTAAAGATTTACTTTAGGGTTATACACTTCAAGCATTTCATTTTTTAAAATTTTGATTTTCGTCTTTGCTCATTTTTTATTCTGTAGACATTATATTTTTTAATATGCTGCATCCAAAAGTTTTATATTAGCAGTAGATTTGCTTGTCTCAGTTAATCAGAAAGTCTTCCAAACATGCATATTCATTGCTTAACCCTGGTTGATGTCAAATAAATTGTTCTTGTGTAACAAGCTGTCTTAATATTGTCAGTAAGCTTTGAATGTTATGAATAGCACTTAATTTTTATATTGATAAGTTCTTCACCAGGTTAACTAGGGAGAATCATCCCATGTATAGTGTCTTAAGCTGGAGTGTGAATATGCTATTATGATGAAAATTTATCATCTGAAAGGTTTCCTGTAGTAATAATATGAGATTATAACAAATATTAACGCCTATATAGCTGTTTAAGTGCATTTTAAAGTTAAAAAACTGAAAGTGAGCATATAAGGTAACAGAAACATTATAGCATAAGTCACCAAAGGATGGTTTCCCTCAACAGCAGAGGCAGCTCGACTGCATGAGGAGTCTGTTATTATTCATTCCAAAAGAGAGGAACTCCAAGAAGCTCGTGTTGAAGTTAAGAAGATGGAGGTAAACTGCTTAAAAAAAGTCACATGGTAGTACAGAATTTGAGTATTTCTGAAAAAAAAAAGTGCTGTTGTAGCATTTTGTTTTATACTGAACAGGACAGAATCACAAGACTACCAGATTTTGGAAGGAATACCAATTTATACTGCATGAAAAGACAGTGCAGAATGGATAGCAAGTGGACTGTATTGCTTGAGGTGCCACCATAGAGAATGCACCAGTGACCAGTTAACTCCAAGCTGAAGTTTAGTTGGACACAGTCCTTCCGTTTGCAAAGGACAGGGCCCTCCATATGAATATATGTAGTCTCATAAGCGTGAGGGTGTCATATTGTGAGCCCAAATGATGATCTTAAATTAGTTGTTAGTGTATTTTGTGATGCAGTTAGTATTGTTAAACAGGTCCTCTCTGGTTGCAGAACCATATCAACTTGGACACTGAGTTCTGAGTGTTGCAAAAAAGAGCTTGTTGAGTACTGTCAGTACTGTAACTGTTGTGAATGGTTGATGGGATGTGTTGTTTGGATGTGATGTATTGTATACATAGCTTTTTCATAGTCAGAACAATGTTTTGACTTGATGGCTGTGTTAGTGAAAAATACCATTTGTGTGTCAACTGCTTAGTAGCAGCATGGAGCATCTAGCTTCACCTGTTACTGAAATTTTTGAGACATCTAACTCTTCTAGGTTATCCAAGAATAAAAAACTGAGTCGTTTTCAGTGCAGAAAATGATAACCTTATGCCCATTTATGAGTTTGCATTATATGCAGCAACTAATGATCTGATCAGAGTACTCATTATTCCACAGGACAATTTTGTAATGAAAATTATGATCCATTTGTTTTCGATGGAAGTATGATAGAATGACAATTAAAGGTAGTATCACAAATAACTTGAAGAGGAAGACACAAACTGGTTTCCCTCTTTGCTTTTCAGAAAACTGATTTATGTGGGATATAGAAAAGTGAAGGAAGTGGGCAAAAACCTGGCAGATGGAATATAGTATGGGAAAATGTAAGGTTATGCATTTTGACAGGAAAAATAGAGGAAGTGAATATTGTTTAAATAGAAAAAAAACTGCAGAAAAGCTACAGATCAGAGGGATTTGGGAGTCTTTGTCCATGAATCCCAAAGAGCTATCATTCAAATTCAGCAGGTAATGGGGAAGGAAAATGGAATTTTCTCCTCTTATTTTGAAGGGAATGAAGTATAAAAGTATGGAGGTTGTGCTAAAGCTGTACAATGCAGTAGCCAGATCACAACTTAAATACTGTGAACAGTTCTGAGCCCCACCTAGGGAAAGATATACTGACATTGGAGGCACTCCAGACAAGATTCACTAGGCTGATACCAGGTATGAAGGAACTACCTTATGAGAAGTTGAGTAGGTTTGACATGTACTTGTCATAGAAGAATGAGAGGCAATTTTATTGAAACATACAAGATTTTTTTTGGGACTTAACAGGACATTATGTGGAAAGATTGTTTGCCCTTGTGGAAAAGTGTAGGACCAGTGGGCATATTTTCAAAATGAGGAGTTTTCTGTTTAAGACCGGTGATGAGGAATTTCGTTGAGGGTAGCATATCTGTGGAATTTTTTATTGCAAAGGGCTATCAAGGCTGCAATGTTAAGTACATTCAAGGCTGAAATAGATTTTTAATCAGTAAGGAATCAAGGGTGTTGGGGATAAGAAAGGAAAGTGGAATGAGGATTATCAGATCAGCCATCAACTCATTGAATGGCCTAGGAGACTCAATGAGCTGACTGGCCTACTTCTGCACCTACATCTCATGGCCTGACGGTCATAGCTTATTCTTGAGTCCAATATAAAATAAAACCAGCTTTAAACAGAAAATATTCCCTTAGATTTTTCTCCCAATTGAAATGATGTTCCAAATAAGAGAATGCCAGAGAAGTGAGTTGTTTTTTTTGAGTTTGGTATGACTCTGTTAACTCTGTTTCTGTCTCTACAGATGCTGCCTCACTTGCTGTGTTTCTCCAGCATTCTGTGTTTGTTTCAGATTTCCAACATCTGAAATATTTTGCTTTTATGTACGTGAAATGATGTCCCTCCTAGGACAGTCTAAGATGAGCCTGAAACTAGTAAGAACAATGCGACTTTTCTGTTCAGTCAAGGGATGTGGTATCGCTGACGATGTTAGTATTTATTGTTCTTTTAAGAAGGTGGTGGTGAGCCAACTTCTTAATCCACCACAGACTGCATGAGGAAGACGTATCCACAATGCTATTCATGTTGTTGGAGCTGAATTGATCATAGGAAGTGGATATGCAGAGGAGAAAGCCTCTGATCTGTTTAGGTGCCTGGACTATTTTAGGTTTCTGGGCTATGTTGATGGCCAGCGATTCTACAAATATCATAATGTCAAGGGTAGGCAGTCAGACTCTTTTGGTTGGAGATGGCCATTGCTGGTTTTTGTGAGACTTGAATGGTGCCATTTATCAGCCCATGCTTGAATGTTATCCAGGTCTTGCTGATCATGTACACACACTGCTGCATTGTTTTAGGAGCCACAAATAGAACTGAACATTGCATTAACAGTAAACATCACACTTCTTTGGAAAAAAAAATGATGAGAAGATCGTTGAAACTGCTCAAGGTAGTTGGAAACAGGACACTGTCTCAAGGAACTCCTGCAGCAGTGTCCTGGGGCTGAGCTCATTGGCTTCCAAAAAGCATGGCTGTCTTCCTTTGTGCTACGTATGACTCCAGCCACTAGAAAGTATTCTCAGATTCCCATTGACTCAGTTTTACGAGCGCATCTTAATGCCACTCTAAGTCAGATGTTGCCTTAATGCCAACACTTCCCACACTTCTATCGAGGCTGTAATAAAGTGTAAATCTAATTGATCCTAGCAGAACTGTAAGTCATTTCTTCTTGGTGAATAAATACTGCTTAATCGCACTGTTAACGGCTCCTTCTATCACATTGCTCATTGTGGAAAAGAATTGACGGAGTGATATTTGATTGGCTTGATTTCGTCCATTTTTGGACTGAATAAACCTGGATAATTTTGGATTTTGACAGGTGGATGCCAGTAAAGTAAACAGAGTAAAACAGCTTTGTTAGAGCTGTGGTTCGATCTGGAGCAGAGATTTTCTGAAATACAGGCTCTTTTTTTTTTTGCTGTATCTGGTGTGCTAAACCAGATGTACTCATGCTAAGAACTCTTGTGGCCTGTCCGTCCTCACTGTATACCACCATGCTATCTCTGGTGGTGTTAGAGAATATACCCAAAATGATTCAATTGTCTCAGATGTGGCCTGAAAGCTATGATTTCATCAGTGTGACATTTGTGTTGTCTGTGCTACATACGTCCCAATTTTGGCACTCAGTTAATATGGAAGATGTTTCAAGCCTGGGTCAAAATATTATTTTTTCTGAGCTCTTTTCTTGATATTTTCTTGAGGCCTACTTTTGATTTTCAGGGCTACATTTTGATTTTTCTATTGTGTCCACTTGCCAACAAAACAGCATTTTCATCTCTTGCAGCGTAATATTGGTTTCTCGATGCATTGGTTTTTCTTTTGAATTGTTTTCATGGATGCAAGATAAAAAGCTTAGACAAAATCTGTCATTTTTTTAGCAATACTCAATGATAATTTTCATTACAGTCGCATCTTCTAATTTTCGTTCGATGTAAAACATCCTGGACATGTGGCTTTAAGCTATAGATTCCATGTTAATTTACAAATAATTCATTTCCCAGAGATTTCAGGTTTTCCTGGCTCATGGTTAGCTGAGTACTTTTTTGACAATGATTAGAACTGTTTGCTTGCCTTTGTTGCCTCCCTTTTTACCCCTAAATTGGTAGCTCCCCTTTCCACCTACCTTATCCTGACAACTGTGGCTACTCTGGCCCTTTCCAGTCCTGGCCCCTCATCATTACAACTATTTGTCTTCTCATTACACCTCCAACCACAGACTGTTTTTCTGTCACATTTGCTGCTGATAGGTTCACTAGTTTTTTTAAAAAATTTATTTACTTGTGGGATATTGGTGTTGCCGCCTAGGCCAGCATTTATTGCCTCGGGGACAGTTAAGGATTAACCATATTGTTGTGGATCTGGAGTCACTGGTAAGGCCAGACCAGGTTAACATGGCAGATTTCCAATCCTAACGGACATTCATGAATCAGATAGGTTTTGTAACAATCAACAGTGATTCCATGGTTGCTATTAGGTTAGCTTTTACTCCAGATTCTTACTAAATTGAAGCTACCTGTGGTTTCAAATTACATTCAAACGCATGCCCAGAACATGAGCCTGGAGTTTTTAGATTACTAGTCCAGTGACATCACCACAACGCTATTGCTTCCCCTAATTTAGATGAATTGTAACAAAAACAAAGTTGCTGGAAAAGCTCAGCAGGTCTGGCACCATCTGTGAAGGAAAGAACAGAGTTAATGTTTTGGGTCTGGTGACCCTTCCTCCGAATGGGTTCCAGTTCTGAGGAAGGGTCACTGGACCTGAAACATTTAACTCTGTTCTTTCCTTCACAGATGCTGCCAGACCTGCTGAGCTATTCCAGCAACTTTATTTCCGTTCCTGATTTATAGCATCTGCAGTTCTTTCGGTTTTTCTTGAGATGAGTTGCAATTTTGGTGTTTTAGGTTTTTACATCTCATCAAGTTCTTGTCAAAAATTCATTTTCTGTGTTATTCATCTTTGTACTAACATATTAAGTTTTAAAACTATGTGTCTTCTCTTCAGTTAAAAATTGTATGTCCTTCTACATGAAATGTTTTGACGATCTATTGACTAGATTCACTAACTATACCAATGAATCATGGAAAATCTAGCTCTAAAATTGCATTATAATGTAATCCATCTGAAAATTGATTTACTTATCAGACTGTCATATTACACAGGTGGAAATGAATGCAGCTACAGCCCAAGTTTGTTTGTTAATGAAGCAGAATGAGCTGTTGAATGAAAAGTTAAAGGAAGTAGCAGACTATACCACATTAAAGACAGAAAATGTACAGCTTCAGACTGAGATTAACATGCTGACAAAACAGCTTGATGAAGCTCATCATGAAAATCAGAAACTGCTTGAAAGTTAGTGTGTTTTGTTTCTATGAAATAGATTGCTGTTACGTGCAAATTGCAAAGTAATTAATTACATTTAGATGGTCAACATTTGAACAATCTAGTGATACTAAATGTTCTTTGGGTGGGATGGGGTTATGGGAGACAAGTGTGCTATGTCTTGGCCCAAATTGATCTTACACTACCTGTTTTACAGGTGCTAAGTGGGCACACAGGTGGCCAATTGCAGGAAGTGCATGCCCAAAAGTTGAGAATGTACTTCTTGTCATATTGGATTGGACTGCCCCAAAACATCCAGGGCACATATTAACATTATTTATTAATGCTTTTTAAAGGGATTATGCACTGGTGCCAGGTTCGTTGATGATCTGTCATTTCAAGCTATTGGTTAACTTATGGGCATTTTTTTTAGTTTATTGTCTAGCTCCGGGGACTTGCCTCATGGAAAATTGTTCTGATGTTGTATTATTTTTGTTTACATATAAATCGTTTGCAGTCATGGGTGGTCTGGTTGAACTACCTTTGGGCTGTGTGACAAGGGGAAGCAGCAAGGGAGACACCAAACAGTAGTATGACATTCATTTTAAGATAGAGATATTTCGAGATTATGCTCTGTTTTAAAGAAATAAGTCTATTACCTCTGTTCGGTAAATATGCTCCCTGTTCAAATTCAAAGTATCAAAGGAACAGTGCTATATACTCACTGGTGTGCTGTGTGTAATTCAAAGCTAATTCTGCAACAAAGTGTTTTGATCCTATTAAGTGTATTTAAATTTTGAAATATTTGGAGAACATTTGGATTTATTCCACTCAACCATGTAGGTTTCATCAAAAATCAAATATTCAGTACAGGGATCACATTCAGAATGTGGTCCTATGATTAAATTGCTTTCTAGGCTACTTCAGCGGGAAGCTAAGATTCAACCAGTTGATGTGGGATTGGAACCATGTAGAAAATATCATCCCTAAATGGCATTATTTAACCCATTGGGCTTTTTAAAACAATCTGACAGCTTTGTGATCACATATACTGGTACCATTTTTTTTTATTTCCAGATTTTTCTTTTAAAGATTGAATTAAAATTCTCCAACTGCAAGGATCTGAACTCTCACTATCTGGACTAATTAGACCAAGCCTTTGGATCACTCATCCAGTAACATAACTACAAGTTTAGAAGATAAAGACCAACATGGGTTATTGCAAAATGACTTGTTGCCCTGTTGGAATTCCATGTAATTCTTGTTTTGTACATCTAACAACGTAGAAAGCACTAAAAAAGAGGGTTGTGTGTGGATTTTCTAGATAGTGAGGGCTGAGGATAATGGATAATTAAAGGGGTTAAAAGGTAAATTTTCCTTTCCTGTCTCTCAACCAAAAATAATGTGCGAGTTCAAATTTGGCTGTTACTAATAAATTCCTCAAGAATGATTCAAGAACAGTATTAACGTAACATCATAAACTGTGAATTTTTTATTCCAGTGGTTTAGTACAGCAAGAACTGCAAAAATCCCAACCAGATAAAAGTTGAAACATATAGGTATTAATTAAAATTGACAGAATCAAAATTTCTAAATTTCATTTGCAGTGCTGAATCAACCTTCTGCTGCGCAATTAGCTCTTCAAACTGAATTGAAGAAAGCAGAATATTCAAGAAAGCTTGACGAAGATGAATATCAAAACCAAAAACAGATTCTGGAACAACAGCTACAGAATGAGGTAAAGGATAACCTGAAACATTAGCATGCTGTTTATTATAGTCTTCATAATAACAATCATCTATCAATAATTCTCACTTGCATCTTTTAGGTACAAAGAATAATGCCTTCAGGGACACTATACGTGACAGGACCGCAATTCCTGGGTGGAAATTGTTCTTGAATATGGGATGGGGGTTTGAGAGACACGTACCATATGTTGGCCCAGATGTTTGCTCATAGTATACCTGTTTTAGAAGCACTAAGTGGGCACACAAATGACAAATTATAGGAAGTTCATGCCCAGCCGAAGGGCCTGTACTGTGCTGTACTGTTCTATGTTCTATAAGTTGAAAGTGTACTTCCTGCCATATTGGATTGGGCTGCCCTATAAAATACATGGAATATGTTAGCATTATTTATCGTTGCTTTTTAAAGGAATCATGCACTAGTGTCAGGTTAGTTGATGGTCTGTCATTTCAGGCTGCTGGTGAACATATGGGCATATTTTAGTTTGTTGGCTAGCTCTGGCGACTTAATTCTAGCTTCTTAGAACATTGTTCTGATGTTGTACTATTTTTGATTGCGTATAAATGATTTGCAGCCATGCGTAGTCTGGTAAAATACCTTTGAGCCTGTGTGACAAGAGGGAAGCCGCCAAGGAGACACCAGACAGTAGTAGCAGCTACAATAAGAAGGAAGTGGAGGAGGGCATAGTGCAGGAAACTATACCACTGTGTGCGTTCTATACAAACATTTCAATGCAGTCACTTCACAAAGGAGGCTGTCACTGAGCGTTGTTATTTGCAGCAGGCAGAACTTGAACCTCAAACCAGAGCCTGGGAGCTTTTTTTTAAATCCCTGACCAGCTGGGTGCTTGCTGTTTTGCATTTGCAAATGTCTTAACATTGCTGGGTGTGGAAGGTTTGAGTAATAAAGGAAGGCTGGGACTTTTTTCCCACTGGAGTGCAGGATGTTAAGAGGTGACCTTCTAGAGGTTTATAAAATCACGAGGGGTATAGATCGCGTTAATAGTAGGTGCCTTTCCCTAGGATAGGGGATTTTAAGGGATCATTTTTAAGGTGAGAGGAGAGAGATTTAGAAAAGACATGAGGGACAATTCTTTTACACAGAGGGTGGTTCACATGTGGAATGAACTTCCTGAGGAAGTGGTGGATGCGAATACATTTACAACATTTAAAAGACGCTGAGATAAGCACATGAATAGGAAAAGTTTGCAAGGATATGGGCCAAGTGCAGACAGGTGGACTAGTTTAGTTTGGGATTATGGTCAGTATGGACTAGTTGGACCGAAGGGTCTGTTTCCGTGCTGTATGGCTCTATGTCTTTAGTGTCATTGCTCTGAGTTTGATTTTCAGCAGCATCTTTCTAAACGTCACCAAAACAGCAAATTGATTTAGATGCTGTTTGCTTTATCCTTGCAATTCTTTTAATGTTCTTTGAATATATGGTGACCTCCCTTCAGCTGGTAATATGTAGTCTCCTTTGTTAGTTGTACATTCACCATCCTAAAGTCGCACTCTGCCCATCAATGCTATGATTTCTTGACAATAGTTTCGACATTATTGACTTGCACCTTCCCTTCCTCTTGAAATATTTTCTGTTGTTGTCTTACATAATGGTTATGTAAATGAGAGAGATGTTAAAAGCATGGGATCACCTTGTTTCAGGTGTAGCACTGTTCTGAATAGGCATTTGAAACCCAATTTTAGCTTGACCTGATCAGTCAGAGAGGCGCTAACCTCAAAATTGTGTAGGTGTACTTATTATTCCAGTTTCATCATATTTAAAGGGCTTCACATCAGATATTTATATTGCATATTGACAAGTGATATTGCGTTTAAATTTGGCTTTTGACAAAATAGAGTATTTAATGTGGTTTTGGTTTTGGATAAATCAATTGAGCTCAGGTAACTGAAATAAGAACTATTTTTAATTGTACAATAGGAGGAATACAGGAAAAATGAAAGAAGGTATTCATTGAGTTGTCATCTAGTAAGCTTTTGTAATCATGATTTTTGTCTGACCTTTCTTGCTGCAGATGGAACGCTATGCAAAGGTGAGAAGCCAACTTGTAGACTATGAGGATCAAACCAGAAGGCTGAATGGACAGATTGATGATTTGAAACTTCAGCTGCGACAAACACAGTTGGGTATGCTGCTTTCAACAGCACTTCAGATTTATCAACTTGACAAATTCTATCTTGTATATTGGCCTTTGTAAATTGTCACTTTAGTAAGCCTATTGATAACTGCTTGAACTCTTGCACGGTGGCTCAGCTTATAGCACTGCTGCCTTACAGTGCCAGGGACCTTGGTTCGATTCCAGCCTCAGGTTACTATATGTGTGGAGTTTGCATGTTCTCCCTGTGCGTGCGTGGGTTTCCTCCAGGTGCTCCGGTTTCCTCCCATCATCCAAAAATGTGCAGGTTAAGTGGATTGACCATGCTAAATTTCCCATTGTGTCCAGGGATGTGCAGGTTAGGTGGGTTGGCCATGGGAAATGTTGGGCTACAGGGATAGGTTAGTGGGGTGGATCTGGCCGGGATGCTCTTCAGAGACTCATTGTGGACTCAATGGCCTGAATGGCCTGTTTACACACTATAGACATTCTGAGATTCTATTATTCATTCTGAAGTGATCAATTGACAACAGTTTGTTTGATTAGTAAAGAACAAACAGGGTTATAATGCAATGCAGTATTCAAATTGAGACTGTTTTTTTCTAAAACTTAATTTATGGGATGATTATTGTGATTTTTAATGTAATTATTTTCTGTACGAAGGGGTCAGTTAGCTCATTTGGTCGGATGTCTGGTTTGCAATACAGAGTTATGCCGACAGTGTGGGTGCAATTGCCCTGTCAGATGTGGTTACCATGATGACCTGCCTTCTCAACCTCACTTGAGGCGTATTGACTTCAGGTTAAACCACTACTAGTTGTCTCTCGTTAGTGAGAGTACAGTCCTATTGCATTCTAGGATTTTGGCTACTTTACCATTACCTCTGTACAAGAATACCAGTTTTGACAACTGTGTATCTGGACAGCTTCCCCCAGAAGAAATTTGCTAACCAGGGCTGGCTAGAAACTCCCTCAGCAGCTATAAAATGCTGTGTGCCTGCTAAACAGGTTATTGTGGTTTATAATACTTAAACCCCAAAGTTGGAGGATGTACAAGCCTCTGGAGGAGCCAACCATTGTGATTGACTAGCGGTTTCAGCAGCACCAAAGCTCAATAGTGGGCTCTGCTGGGATTGCAAGCAAACCCATGATGCAGGGCCATGGACTACAGATGCAGGTTCATGGGGGGATCTCAGGAATGGGGCAAATGGTGCTGGCTTTCTCCCGATGGACAAGGGGCACCCTCCAATCTAACATCCACCTACCCTTCCTTCCTGCCTCTATGATATAAATGAGCTTGTGAATGGGTAGGAAAGTAATGGGCTGGGCATTCAACCTGTATTATATGACCCCATACTGAAAATATTGGTCAGGGGCATATAATATCCGGTCTAGGTTTGGTTCTGTTCATTGCATATCAATCATTCGGTCATAATGCCAGGGGGAGTGATGTCCATATTTGCAGCCAATACTAAAATAAAAGGCATGCTAACTAATTCTGAGTCTGAACTAAACTACATGGGAATACTGACAAGATGTTAGAGTGAGTGAGAAAACATGGCAACTATAATTAATTACCTATAAATAAGTGGCATATTTTGTTAACTTTGTTTAAAAAGAAAGCAAGTAACAATTTATGCTGTAGTGAAAGACTTAATAATGTGGAGGAACAGAAGGATTTCGAGGGGTCAAGTTCATAAGAATTTGTTTTAACTCACTTTGGGTCCTGCTGGTGAGGGAGATAAACACCAATACATTCATTCGGTTTAAAAAGTCTACTTCTGTGCTGTAATTTCTGTATAAATCCATTTTTCCAAGGGTTGTAAAAATTAACATTGCAAATGTGTAATGTTTTACAGTGTAGTTTAAAGCTTGTTAAATTATTGTTACCAACTTGTTCACATCCACTTACAAAGGTACCTATAATTCAGTAGCTTTAAGGTTATTCTCTTACCACTGTTGTTTCTTATTGTCCTTTTTTCTTCCCCCTTTGTTTTGCCTGGCCTTGCAGCTTTAGAGAATGAAGTCTACCGCAATCCAAAACCATCTCGAATTGATCGGTCAATCATTGACCTCACTGCTGACAGAATTGCACCACATGATACTTATGTAGATGTTGGTTTACTTGGCAGTCGAGTAGCACCTGAAGATCGTCTCTTCCATCCAACGTCTGCAATGTATGCTAATTACTGCAAGTTAACTGAAAAAACCTGTTCTTCACCAGATTCAGACCAGGATTTTGTAGCAGGAGCAAAGGCTCGAATAAGGGAGCTGGAAAAAGAGTCTGAGAACCTAGAGGAAGCCTACAGAAACTACCAAAATAGAATCATTCGGACTGCCATTCAGAAAAGTTCAGAAACTCGAGCTTTTTCTCCAATGTCAGTTAACAATATTCTCAGTAGAATTCCATCCAACCATCAGCATAGAGTAACATTTGCAGACAACGCCTTTACTTCTCAACAGCTACAGTTTGCTACAAGAGCACAAATACATGAGGAAAATCACCGACAAATAACTAAAATTGAAGATCACCAAACTCCTGCTGTATCTCAGTTTACATCTCCAAGACACTGTTCTTCAACACCTGTCAAGCATAAACTTAAATATGATCAGTGTAGTAGAACTTCAGAAGGTAGGATTTTTCATAATCTATAAAATAGAATTTGATCATGACTGAGTAATATATACGAAGAAGCCTCAGTGGTATTTGTGTGACAAATTTCAGATTTATTTTTTGAGTAAGTCTAAAGTATTGTGACAGAGCTATAACTACAGTGTAGAGAATGGAAGCGGGAGAAGTTGCTCCAAATGGATTGATTTAATCAATGAACTTAATGAATTACTTAATATTCACACTCCATGCTACTTACCACAGATGCATTAATGGCTAACTATTTTTAGACTTGTTGCACCAATGGTGCTGTTTTTATTGTCCCATTAACGTTGTAGTTGTGTAATGATGAATGTCAGTCCGGCTTTCTGAAAGATACTTCTCAATTCCACTTCCTTTCTCCAGTTCAGAAATTAGGTAAGCAGTTATTAGATAGTAGAGTGATGATAAAGAAGGCAATTGTGAGGTAAAGAGAATAACTAGATTGACACCAATTAAGCTGATTTCAGTTGGGTCTCTTACAAATGAGGGAAGTGAGAAAATGTCTTGTTGTGACAGTCCCGAATGGATTTTGAGCACTGAAGGGGCCTTGAACAGCCCACTCACCAAATCTAGTGGTCTGTATTGTGCATCAGTCCAATTTATGCATATCAGTGATATTATTCCCAGATTCAAGTCCATCAGAAGTCATTTATAAGATCATTAATACATTTATGAATATTACAAGCCAAATCAACCTATCAAGGTTCACTGCTGCGATATCCTCAATCTTCCAATTCTATGATGTAATTTAGTTTTACATGTCCAGAAATGTTTATCCTTGATACCCTGGCTGAGAGATTATTTGAAATAATTTTCAGTCTTTAAGTAAAAGACTTTGACCTAATGTTTATTTCAAATCATCTTCTCACTCTGGTAAATTAAGGGGTAATTTTCTTTGATCCTATTTTGCTGGTTTATTTTTAAATAGTGGTGTTTGTGGCCAGTGTCACCACTAGATGGAGCAACATGCAATTATGTGTGAAATCAGGAACAAAAACAAAGTTGCTGGAAAAGCTCAGCAGGTCTGGCAGCATCTGTAGAGGAGAAAACAGAGTTAACGTTTCGGGTCCGGTGACCCTTCCT